CCTTCTGCTCTGCTGGTAAGTTAATGCTACAAGCTGTTGTAGCTCAGAGATTTAAGAGAGGAAGAGGTATAATTGTGTGTAAGACCTCCTGAGGATGACATCCCAAAGCCTAGGGAGGCAAGCAACAATTATGGTTTATTTACTAATGCATTAAAGAATTAGGTTGTTTTCTGACTGAGGGGACTGTAGATAGTAATTTTGTGAACTCAGATGTTCATCTGGAGCCCTCAGAGCCTGCAGGGCTGCACTAGGTGGACGGAAAACAGGGCTCTGTTCAAAAGCCCTATCTGAGGAGGGAGCAGGGGCAGAGCAAAGGCTGGTTACTTGGTTTCCTGACATCACTTGGGAACCAATTTGGAACTAAACTGGATGGAGGCCAGTAGGCCAGTCCTTCTGTGTCCTTTTGGGTGCCATAGTTGGCTTCTGGTGCTATCCAGAAGCACTAGAGAAGTGACCAGAGGGCTGCTCAAAGGATGTCCGGGCTTTTCCCTGTGCTGGGACACTCCTTTGGAAGGCATTAAGTGATAAGAAGCATCTCTGCTGCTCCCTGCACATTCCTGGGAGCTGGAATTGCTTCCTGAGTTTGAGAGAACCTCCAGCAGACTTGTGCGTCACCTGCTTCTTTAGAGGTGAGATGTATGCTCACAGATGGTGATTGGGATTGTGTGTTTCATGAGAGTAATAACCTCTTGGTAGGGCTACAGTGCTCAGCTGAGAATCGCTAGAGAAACACAAAGCATGACTTAATGGTATTTTCTTTAGGGGAAGGGGGGCTTATGTCTCCTGGGACTGGAGTACATAAAAGGGTGTGGGATTTACGTGTGTTTTATTGAGTTAATCTGTGCTGGCCAGCAGAAACCATTTGCAGCGGGGTCTCTTGGCAGACTAAAGAGCAATTCCTTATCTCCCAGGAACACGGCACCACTCGGTCTTTGGTGATTTAAGTCTGTAATGCTGTTGAACTCAAAAGCCCTGTGCTTATTTATTGGTGGCTGAAGATCCAGCCTCATGTGCATAGCATTTGGTATGTCCCAACATAGGAGTACTGGATGTCCTGCTGTCAGACACCTTTTTTTTTTTTTTTCTCCCCTCTCCTGCTCAGAGTAACTGAGTGAATCTCAGTGCAGCCAGATACACAGGCAGGGAAAAATCAATGGTCTCACTTTGTGTAGTAACAGATATTAGGCATTTGAGAGACAGAAATAAAACATTGCAAATGCGTTTACTGTACTTCGTAATGTGAGATGTTGAGATGTGAGATGTCAGCTAGCACTTGGCATGTGTCCAAAAGCCATGATTTTCAACCATCCTTCTGATTCTTACAGAACCTATTTTTATCGCTGTGTCTTTCCGGCTCTCCTTTATCTGTTTTAAATTATGGATGGCAACAATAAATGCCGCGTCCCTGAGGGAGCGTGCCCAGCTGCTTTGGAGGGAAGGAAGCCCTCCCAGAGGTCCTGCTGCAGGGATGTGGCTGCTGCCCGTGCCCAGTGACCCATTATGAGAGGGAATGTGGGGAGCAGAGAAGAGAGAGAGGAAGGAGAAGGGCTCTGCACCCAGCAAGGATCAGCACTGGTGTTGCGCTCAGGGTTGCCTGGTGTTAGTAGCAGAATACATCAGTACAGAGGAGAAAAGCTTGTTCCCCTCTTCCAGGCACTTGGTTCTCCAGTGCTTGTGTGCTGCACATGCAGAGGCTGGAGCTGTCCCCGCTTGTCACAGCAGAGCCTGGTTGGTGTTAAGGTCATCACGATATTTAGGAGGGTGAGGGAATGGTGACCTGCCAGACCTGCCCAGCGGTGTTCAGCACAGCTATCTCCTCTAGCCTTCTTGTCTTCACCTGTCTCTTGATTCCCTGACTGCAACTCCTTAAGCCAAGAGCGATGCTCTGATGTGTTGCACAGGAAGGCTCTTAGCTTCACTTGTTTCCCTAGATGTTTTGGCAAAAAAACCAAAAGTTAACTTTGCAGGTGAGCAGATATCATGTGTCCAGTTGTCCTTCATCATCATGACAGCTGCAGGCTGGTAACTTGGGGAATCTGCTGGCTGATCTTGCCAAGTGGGTGCCGAGCAGGACAGAAGTGACTCTTGGTTTTGATGACAGATGCTTAGCTGCAGAGGTCAAGAGTTAAGTAAAATAAATGCTGCAGGTGTGGCAGCAAGTCCTGCCTGCCTTTTGTCCTAGGAGGACTCTACTCATTTCCTGACAGCTGCCCTAATCCAAGGAAAACTATATATATATATTTTTTTAAGGGAGATAAAGATCTTTGGCTTGCCCTAGGTGTCCATGAGATTCCAGGTCCAAGCTGAGAACATGAGTCTTCTGCTGAGGTGGCCTTCTGATCTATATTGCCCTAATCCCGCCTGCTTTTTGGCGGCTCCCATGGGAATAAGCGTGCACCAACTGTGTCCGAGTTAGCTTCCCGCTGCTGAAGGTGACCAAAAATGTTTGCTCGTCAGTTAGGAAGTCACTGTAAGCAGATCAGTGTAATGAGATTTTGCAGCCATATGGCCCTGGAATTAGTGCCTCTTAGGGCGCTGCCTGCACACTGTAATTGCAGCAGTGCTTTATGCTAAAAGTAATTTCAACAACAGAGACACTTTTTCCCCCCACGTATTCCCTTAACTTCTTAGGACTTAAGGCAATGTCTGAGATACTAACCTGTATGAAAAAGGGGAGAGGATGGCTGAGCTGGTTTTGATTAGTTGGGAGGAAATAGTAAGTTAATAAAAAAGACTTTTTTTTTCTAGCTGAACAGGTGCTGCATGTAATGGCATGAAGTGCTGCTTGTGCCCTGAGAGGGGACCCTCAGTGCAAGCTGTTAAAATGCCCTGTGGCTCATCAGAATCATTATTTGACCAGCAGGGAAGGTGGAAAGGAGGTCACAGAGTTACATGCAAGAAACAGTATTATGTTCCAGCCTACCCAACAAAGAACAGTTCAAACTTCATGTTAAAACACTACATAGAAATTGGAGTGACGCTCGGATTGCAGGAGCTAAATGTGAATTTCTGTCGATTCTCTGTGTTTCAGAACCTTTTGTTGATAACAGTTGTGGCCTCAGGTTACTTGTTTTTCAGCCCTGCAGATTCCTGTGTGTGCAGGGAGCTGTTTGTGAATAAGCAAAACACTTCTTGCTGCTTTCATTGGTTTTGGGCTTTTGAAATTATTGTGATTTTGGCGGTGGTTGGGAGAGGCAATTTTGTGTCTACCCTGATAAATTTTCTCTAGAGGCCTTGCAAGGCTCTGTCAGAAAAGGGATGTCGGCTTTCCATTTTAATGCGTCTGCAGGTAAGCTGCAAATGGAGAGTGTTTCACAGTATTTTCCAGCTACCTCATTTGTTGCAGGGCTGACTTCCCTCCCGCCTTCCTCTGCATCCATGCTATTCCCAGACTCTGTTCCTGACTCCTCAGGGCTTCATATCAATGCTCCAGCCATGCAGGATGGTGCTTGTTGTCATTGCTGTATCCCTAGCAGAAAAGCTCCAGTGCCAGGTAACTGGTATTTCCAATGAAACTAGGAACTAGCATAAATCCACTGGCCGTTCTGGTAGCTGAGAAAATCTGGGCTTTGCCTCTTGTTTCTGAGAAGACTTTTGCATTTCTTACTTATTCACTGGCAGGCTAGTCCTGCTCGAGCGGTTGCTAGCGATGCAGGCAACTTCTGAGCAGAAAACGCCATCTTCAGCTTAGAATCACAGAATGTGAAGAGGTCAGAAAGACATTAAGCTAAAACCACCGTGCCCTGTTTCCTGGTCTCTTTGCTCGTGATGCAATATTTTGCAGAGTTCTGCACCACTCTTTTCCACATCTCTAAAATGCTGCAGTCTGCTGGCAGTTTTCCTATGGAAGGTCCAATAAATGTTTTTTTCAGGTACCAATGAATTGGGTCCCCACTTATAGGCAAAGGACAGGATGGTGATGAACGTTGCCAAAGGAAACCTAGGGGCAAGGGAACAACACTAGGTGCAACTGTGTGGAGTAGCGACTCAGGGGTGTTTGAGGTAGAGAAAACCTTTAACTAACCAGCTAGGTCTCTCCTAGCTGGCCAAGAAAGCCCTGGGGGAAGCTTGTTGTGCAGCCTGTGTGTTGCAGCTTCATCCTGCTTTGTCACCCTTGTGTCACCTGTGCTGCCCGTGGGCCTCTCTGTGCATCCCCTCCTGTGTTGTCCCCCACACAGCGGGACCCCTTTTATCTCATGGCCCCAGGCCAAGCCTGCTTTGCGCTCGGGTTCCCAAATACCAGCCCTCCCCAAGGCTCTGCTCAGTGCTATTTATTATGCGAATAGAGAAGTGGTGGGGGGGAGAAGGTCAACCTAAATGAATATCCAGCACGTTTGAAGGGAGACTTCTAAATACATTCACTGATCTCGGAGCAAACTGAAGGATCCAATTCTCTAAAACCCATGGGAGAGGGAGAGCCGGTGGTGGCTGCCGCAGAGCGCCGGTGAGTAACAGCTCCCTTCTGTCCTCCATTTGCTGCTTGTCCTTTAAATCCCCAGGCTTGGTGAGCAGGCCCGTGCTGCAGCGCCGGGCGCTCCTCGCTTCAGCCCTGCCGGACACGCGAGTGATAGCCGAGCCGCTCCGCGGAGCCGGCTCCTTGCGCCGCTCCGGCCGAAATGCAGGAGTGAAAAGCCTGGCCTCAATAACGAGGAATCATAGGAGCACAAGCCTGAAAAGGACTATAAATCACGAAGGAAGAGTTTTTTAAAGCGAAATTCTCTGTGACCATGGCTGATATTCCCTTAAGAGGCATTCGGTGACTTGCAGCGCGCGTCTGGGATCCTCTCGCCTCATCCTGGCTTATAGGACAGCTTTAAACTGCTGGTAAGGAAGGGTATGGGCTTCTGCCTGGGTTTATAGCTTTAGTTCTGCATGGGAGAATAAAGTAAACAGATATTGAGAGCAAGGAGGGAAAACAGTCATAAGCCTGTAAAAGCCTTAGCTGATTGCGATGGCAAGCGTCCCGCTGGCGACAGTGACCTGGAATGAACCAAGTGGGATAAAGTCACCGGCCTGGAGTGACGGCTGAAGAACCAGGCGGGATTCCAGCAGACAAAGTGAGAGAGCAGATTCCCGACAAGACTCTCCCGAGCTCCAGCAATGGCTTCGTGGTGTCGGAAATGTGGGCAACAGGTGCCCAGGAACCCACCCTTCACCGGCGTCCGAATCACGGAAGGAGAAATGAAATCTTACCATGATTTTATACGAGGGTGCATTAAGCTGGAGCGCATGGCGAGGAAAGGTACGTGCAGCATCTTTACCAGAAAGAGCATCTCTTCTTAGTGGCAGCTGCGTTGCATTCCTCAGAGATTTCCAAAGCGCCTGTTTTTCTAATATTTTCTTTAGGGAGCTGGTGGTGTAAATAATTTAAAGGGAACTGCTGCGTTGGGATCTTAGCTGCAGTGTGCCTGTGTTATTTGACTTGACTGTGTATTTCTGGGGTATTTGCAGTGATTTGACCTAGAGGAGGTTAAAAAGGGAGTGCTGGACTTGGATATTTGTTTCACTGGGATGTTAGACAGTGAGGTTTCTGTATATATGTCTGGGGCAGGTATTTATTGTGCATGTAATAGGAAGGAGAATGGAGCAGGGGCTTTCATAACCCACTTGATCCTGTCACCCCTGCTGCTAAATTACAAAGCAAAAGGTCAAAATCCCCCCCATTCAAAAACTTCTGGCTTCATTCAGGTTTCATTTCAGCCTTCCCACGGAAGGAGCTTGGCCTGCCGAGGTACCTGTGCCCTGTGCGAGTCGGATGGGCAGGATGGTGTGCTGGGTTGCTGGTGTAAGATGCTGGTGTCCTGGTAGATCTGCTCAGCTGCATGTAAGCTCTGAAATAGCAGTTTTAACTATTTAATCACACATTGGGATAGCTGAAACAGAACAGTTCTGTCTCAATTTGTCATTAGAAAAGATTAACTACAGAGCCCTTTGATTTCAGTTGCTTGGTTCATTTGGGTGAATGTTTAGCAAAGCTCAAGTCCAGAAGTGGAGTATTTGCTTGTACATAACAAACCTCAAGGCATGCAATACGATTGCCCTTTCCACTGAATTGATAATTATGATTTGATTAGTTTTTCAGCAAAACTTTTTTAAAATGGCCATGAACTGAAGTTGCAAATGGCTTCAGTTCTTCCTTGCTGACTAATATATGGAAATGTGTATTCCGGAGTTGCATGCAGCATGGAAAACTGAGAATGCATTGCAGGAGAAGATGCAGGCCAGGAGCAGGTCTCTCCCGGCAGCTGCTGCTTGCAGCAAAATGCAGTTTGCGGCTGCTGCTCCTGAGCAGAGCTGTGAGGCAGAGTGTGAGGCTGTGAAAGCCGCAGAGCCGGTCGCTGCTTTGGGCTGTTTGCCCTCATCCCGGGGCCCTCTCCCTCCTTGTGCACTGAAATACCTGGCTGACCTTCAGGCACCGCTGTTTCCAGCCGCTTTCTTCCTAGGGCAGCGTTCTGAGTTGAGTGCAGCCCGGCAAAAATGCTGCGTCTCCGAAACAGGAGCAGGTAATTGGGAGCTCTCTGCTGAATTTGTGATCCGGGTTCCAGGCTGGGTAGAGCTGTGGAAACCCAGCACCTTTTGGAGCTCAGACATCTGCTTCTCTCCCCTCCCGCAGGTAGAGGGAAAACCGCTGGCGAGAGCGGGAGCTTTGCCATGGTTACTGTTCCCAAGGAAACTCCTTCCGTGCGTGTTGAGAGATGACCTGGCATAGCAGCATGGGCAGAAATTCCTTAAAATCATTTACTGCAGGAGAAGGGCTGGAGTTAACGCTGCCCGAGCCTGTGTCTGTTCTGTGGGGCAGAGAGCATCTTTGCTGCTTTCTTAAATTCCAGCCCCGGGGCCACAGGAAGGGCAGAGTCGCTGTTAGGAGCAAGATGCCTTTGGCTGCACACGTTGGAGCACAGCTCCTGGACCTGGGAAAAATAGGCTAGTGACAGCTTCTGTTCAGCTCCTTCCAAAAAACCGTGTTCTTGTCCATGCTCAAGGCTGCTGCTTGAATAAAGGAGGGTAATGAGTCACCAGGGAGCAAGCAGTTAATTCCTGAAGCTGTTCAGGGTCCTGCTTTGCTGCAAAATAAGCAGGATCTCCTTGCCAGTGGCCTGCAGGCCTGTCTGAGCTAGCAGAACGTCCAGCTTTGTCCTTCCCTAGGACAGAGGATGAAGCAGTTCTGGTGGCCCAGCAAGCATGGGCACTGTCCTGCTGCTGCTGCATCTCTAGCACAGCTGGGAAGGAGAAGCAATTCTTCAGATCCATCTGAGGGAAATTAGAATGGTTTAGAGCAGCTGAGGGTAAAACCGAACTTCTCTGGTGCCGTTTCCAGAAAGAAATCCCATCCGAGTGAGACAAGGCTGGATTTCGTGGAGGGCTTTTTGGAGCTCTTCAGTAGTGAAAGAAATGAGGAATACCCTCCTTCCCTGCACATTTGGTCTCTACAAAGGTGCTGGTTGCTATTTAAAGTATGACTATCACATGGACAATGAGGTTTGCAGGTTCTGTGTAAATAAGAAATACTTTGAAGCCCAGTGAGATTCAGTTCCAGTCTTTTCATGCCTTGGTTGGAATTTTTCTCTTTATTTACATTCAATGTCTATTCCCTTCCTTAATGAAAAACAGCCTGAGGAACCTGGGATAAGTCAGCATTTTTTTTCCAGCTGGCTAACGCTGCAAAGGGGAGAAAAACAGAATATTTCTACTTTAGTTATAGAGCTTTGTTACAAAGATTGTTTAGATGTCAGTCTGTCTGTCTTTGCCTCTTTTCATCGATATGGTACCTGTTCTGTTCCTGTTGAACAAAACGAAACCCTGTCAGAAAAGCCTAGAGATGGCAGAGAAAGGAGGGAGTGTGTAGCTTGATTTCCATTTAAAGAACTTTGAGAAATAAGTACCACTGAAGATCAAGAGAAGAAATTCTCAGAGGACAAGTGATAGCAGAAGTCTTGTGGGTACTTGTTTTCCCCTTCCTCCCACAATACCAGAGCAAGAAGCAACTGAACAAAATGGCAAAGCATTAAATGGGGATGATAGATGGATTGCTGTAATTAGTAATGTTTTGTTAATTTGTGGGACTTGATACCACAAGGTGATAGCTCAGTTTGCTTTTCTGCTTTGCCTGAACTGCAGTATAGATTGTCTGGGGAGAGGATCTTCTGCAAAAATAGTGCTCGGTGTGATGGAAGGCTGGGGAGAATTCTCAGTCAAATTCTGTCCATGGAGCATCGCTGAATTCAGCCACATCCCCCATGCAGAACCTCTTCCAAATGCCTGTTTCTGCTGTGTGAAGGTGCTGGTCTTGTGCATGAATCACTGCTGCTCTATCTGCAATTCTTTCAGTGAGGTTTCCACGTCATGGACTCTCCTCCCTCGCTCTCTGGACATTGGATATGGAATTGGTGGTGCTCAAATAGAAAAGGGGGGGTAAATGAAACTTTGTTAGAACAGCCCAGCTACTCAGTGGGTATTTGGACTGTATTAGGCTTCTTGATCCACAAATTTTTGATCCTGCTAGTTCATTCCACTTCTCAAGGGTATATCTCACCTGCCTTTTTACAGCAACAAGAAGTGATGACTGTGGTTGTTTATTTTTCTTCTTTTCTAACCCAGGGTGTCTCGGCAGCTTTCTGTTCCTTGTAGAAGCAGTACCATATATTGAGAACACGGTCTGGTGTGAGCCATTATAACGAGGCTTGCAGAGTCCAGTCAGTCTGTCTAAACTCTGGCCTCGTTGCTCTGTGTGCAGCTGGAGGGGTTGGGGAGCAGCTGTCTGTGTGGCTGAGGATGTGATTATGAAGCTCCTATGCTGCTAATTAGCCAGGTTGTCCTGCCCTCGCATCAGGGAGAGCTGAGGAGACAAGGCGGGGAGGCAAAGGACTGCTGTGATCTCTAGTCCTTCAATTCATACAGGCTGCCTTTGCCACTAGCCTCCAAGAGGTGATCTGCCAGTTAGAGGATGAAAGTGAAGTAGGGGAAGCTCCATTTGTGTTATTCAAAAAAAAAAAAAAAAAAAAAATCACTGGAAACTGAAGTGAGAGCTCTGAAAGAAGCCTCTTCCTTTGCTTTAGAGGGCTCCAAGGGAAATGGTGAATTTGCAGTTGCCTCAAGTCCTTAACATAAGATTAAAGAGCTTTCCAAAATGATCATTTAATTCAATTTCTGTAAACTTCTTGTGTATTTAACAAGTCAAACACAATGAACCAAGCCCTCCCTTGTGCTCCTGCAGTGAAGGAGCTGGGAAGATGATGCTTCAGTTGGTTCCTTGGCTATGGACTAATCCTTACCATGTTTTTTGGACATGGACAATCGTGGCTGGGTGCTCAGATGCTACAAGGCATTTCAATGAAACTGGGGTCAATTAGACCAACTGAGGATCATTTTCTTGAATTAAAATTTTATATATCCTGCAGATGATTGCTAACTGGAACATCTGTAGGTGCTATTCCATATGCTGGAAGGATGGTATTTGGATAGTGAAGAATATTGTCCTGCTGAGACAGGTAGGACTAATCCTTTTACTTCTACCCTGTTAGACAGCAGACCCATCCTACAGCAGCATGCTGAAGTTAGCCTTACAGGTACTGATATTTAAAGTGTATCATTCAAATCCAGTTGATGCCACGGAAGAGGTGCTGCTGGCTGAGCCTTGCTCTTCACATGCCTGTGGATTCCGAGGATTCCCCTGGTGCCCTTTTCCCTGTGCTGCCCAGGAGAGGGCAGTGCCCAACACGAGACCTTGTGTGATGGATTCTGCTGGGCACTGACTGCCCCTCGCTGGAGGTGAGCGGCTCCTGGATGCCTAACCTGACTGTTGTCCTGTCATCGAGTCCCTCCTGCAGCCTCCTCTTCCGAGAGGAGCAATCGCTGAGCTGCAGACCAGCTTTCACATGAATTGATCTCCTGTGAATGTTTGTATTGATACGGGTAGCAAAGTAAGACTACACATGTGCTATAGCGGGTAAGTTCAATTGTCTGGCAGGCCCTTCAGGGCAGGTGAGGGTAGAAGAGCACAAAATATGGTTGCACTGCAGCTTTTTGCTCCCCCAGTCTCCCTACATCCACCTAGGGTCTTGTCCACAGTGCTGTAGGTGTCTTGGTCTAATGTGTACCCAGTGCTTAGCATGGTGATGCTCAGTTTGGTGCTTTGGCATTTGTCTGTAACACGTGGTAAAACTAGCTGAGTTTCATGTGTAATGCTAGAATTGATAATTCGTGCTTGTTGGCTGATGAGCAAATGACGGAAACACTGGATAC